GTATTCCCACTTTGCTAGCTAAAATCTGAGAGCATGAGAGCAAAAAGGGATTCTGAAGAAAGCAGTAAGAGTACCTACCATGATGGAAGCTGGGAAGTTGGGCAACAGGGGACAGAGATAATAGGGGACAAAGATAATTTCCTGCAGAGTTTTTTCTATCAACATTATAGAATAAAGAAGTTAATGAAGTTGGAAGGTATAAATAAATGAGAAGGAAGTCTGAAGAAATAATATGAGATTATATAACCAGGGAATTTCAGTGCTTTATATGTGTGTGTGGTAGATTTAAATTAATATAATTGGCATATCACAACAATTTAATTTCCCAGCCTTTTGTTTACTGAAAATACACTAGATTAAATCCTTCAGAGACTGCAGGTAGTCTTTGACTTACAACAGTTCATTTGATAACTGTTTAAAGTTACAACAGTACTGAAAAAAGTGACTTATGGCCATTTTTCACACTTACAACCGTTGCAGCATTCCCATCGACATATGATCAAAATTCAGACACTTGGCAACTGACTTTTATTTAGGATGGTTGCAGTAGCCTGGGATCACGTAATTACCTTTTGTAACCTTCTGACAAGCAAAGTCAATGGGGAAACCATACTCACTGAACAACTACCTTAACAACTGCAGTGATTCACGTAACAACTGTGGCAAGAAAGGTTGTAAAATGGGGCAAAATTCATTTAACTGTTTCACTTAGCAACAGAATATTTGCTAAGTGAAACTGTGGTCATAAAGTCAAGGGCTACGTATAGTTTTTTACTCTTTATGTGTTCTACTGAAGATAGTATTTTTCAAACAACCCATAATTGTGCTAGAAAATTTGCTTTGGCCTTCCAATATATTTTTGCAAATAGAATCAATGGAGGAATCATTCATGGTACTTTCTTTTCCCATCCAAAATATCAGCCTTACCACAATGTAGCCCAGAAGGGAAACATGACCATAATTGTACTTTATTATAAAGCTACATTAATAGAACCTTGCAAATCTGAAAGTACAAAACTGCCGTTTCCTTTACAAACCGAGAAACTAGGGAGGGTCCTTATGAGCCTTTTGCTCCACCCACTATCCAGCTGCGAGTGGTGCCCTCTCTTATTTGATTATTCCCACACATCATTTCTTCTCTCCATCTCCAAAGGTCTTTTCCACATGCCATCATACAAAACTTCCAAGTAAAGGCACTGCTTATTAGACCTTTCCACACTTGTTTAACTGTAAGCAATTCTATAATGTTATATCTGAAAACCTTAAAGCATTTTAAACCGAAAATCATGAACCAGAATATCTTCTTAAAATCTGCATTGCATGTAAATAAATCCTCCTAATGCTGATTGATAAATTATGGGCTTGGGATATAATTAAATGGTTAATTTGAGAAATAAAATTTATTGTAATACATTCATTATAAGGATATCAGTACTAGAGAAGTAAATGTGATAGCAGTAATTCAATCAACCATTAATTGATAAAAAATGAATACTAATACGTTCGCTGTCGAAAGAGTAGATAAAGATTATCTCCACACCTCAATGAAATAGATATTAGCTGTATCTGAGAAAGAAAATAATTAATGTGGAATTCCTCTTTATTTCTAGGTGCTGGGAAAAGACCATCCAGATGTTGCCAAACAGTTAAATAATCTGGCATTACTATGTCAGAACCAGGGCAAATATGAAGAAGTAGAATACTACTATCAGCGGGCACTTGAGATCTACCAAACAAAACTGGGGCCAGATGATCCAAATGTAGCAAAAACAAAGAATAATTTGGTATGTTTGTATAATAGAATAAAAAGCAGAGAAACAAAGCATTGAGGTTCTCATTTGCTGAAAATGTGCAACTGTGATCTTAGCTGCTGGCTTGTCCTACAAATGCTTACACAAGTGCTAATACTGATATTTAAATTTAAAACATGCTAAAGTAATGGTTTCTCTCTTCAGGCATCCTGCTATTTGAAACAAGGGAAATTTAAGCAAGCAGAAACTTTGTACAAAGAGATTCTTACTCGTGCCCATGAAAGAGAATTTGGCTCCGTGGATGGTAAATGTTTGTATTATGAAGAAATGTTAGACATGGATATTATTTTCCAAACAATATGATGCATGCTTGCTATATTTTTAAAAATAATACAATTTTTAGAAATTCTTATATTAAGAATTCGTTCTATATTAGTTCTATATTTATTTCTATATTCGTTCTGCAGATCTGACCATAGGTATTTTTTCAAGTAATATATATTTCAAATTGTACTTGAGGTATGCCCAACCCCAACCCCCCATTTTAAATTGAGCAGAATTCACTCTGTGTGTGTGTGTGTGTGTGTGTGTGTGTGTGTACACACATTAGAAGCTCTGTCATGGTTGAATGCATTGAGGAATCTGATAAGAAAATACCATAGGTCTAAAATGATGACTCAGCGGGTCATGGGTTATTTCAGTACATAATAAATAAGGGATGGGAGAGGCATTTTTAAAAGCAAAACATTCAAATTACATCGGTTACAATTATCTGTCTGTTTTTAGGTCTCTTTTCATAAGTAATAGAATTCTGCCCAGTGTAGTGAAATACAGTACTAATAAAAATAAGACAGCTGAGTGTTGTTTCACACAAGAAATACAGATTGTATATAGTAATTTCAGTGTAGTGGCTTCATTGCATTAAATCGGTTATGTTAACAAGATGCATACGCTGTCAGAAATACTGTGATCAATGAAAAACTTTGTAATGCTTTAGCAGACAGCTCTGTTCTCTGAACATGCTATTTGAAGGCTGGTTGAGATCAAAGCTACTTTAAATAGAACAACTTGGAGTTATAGGTTCTTTTTTTCACAATGTCTAGGAAGGTAGATGCATTTTGACACAATGGGATGAGATAACTTTCTGTGGCATTCACCTTATTTAAAATAAAATAGAATTGGGTAATCTTTACTACAATAGAAGTAAGAGCTACTAGTTAACACTGATCAACATGTTTTAGAAACTAGCATAGTCTAGGATAGATATCACTATATAGTTATAAAATGTTTTCTTAACCATTATTCTGGAATTTGCAATTTTATTTCACAATTCAATATTTTACTCTTACATAGATGAAAACAAACCGATTTGGATGCACGCTGAGGAGAGAGAAGAATGCAAGGTAAGGAATTAAAGAACAGAAATGATTTTATAAATAAATATGTTGTTGTTAATTTATATTTCACTTTTCTGCTTCTTAATATATTGTTCTCACTTTAGGGAAAACAAAAAGATGGCATGACATTTGGTGAATATGGAGGCTGGTACAAAGCTTGCAAAGTTGACAGGTAGGTATACTTTCCCCAAATTATTTGTGGTGTTTGGCTGTTGGTAGTGCTACGAATGCTGAAATGTAAAGGAATCATAATACCTTTTGTTCCCACTGGGCCAGGCTCTTTTTGGAGTGTAGGGGAGTTTGACAGCTTTGGGCAGTAAGTTCTTAAAATCAGAAGCATTTGAGGTGTTTCCAGTGTTCTGAATTAAAAAAAAAGGCTGTTCCATCTGTAATATTTTCTGTAGAATATCTCAAAGTCTTTTCAGTTCAAAAACCATAAAACCATTCACCAGAACAGTATGGTCGAGAGAAAAAACTTAAACATTCTCAAGAACATTCCTGAGTTGCTTGAATACACTGTCTTGCAAAGCCCTCTGCGGTCAGTAGCTACAGACTGTTACTCTGCCAAGGGTGCAGCTAATGGATTTACTATAGTGATTAAAATCATTTTGTGGCCTAAAGTGGCTATGCTAGAGACAGCACCATAACCACTGTGCCTTGAGAGAAGACGCGCCAAAGGGAGTAGCACTTTGTATATGTGTGTTATTATTGCTCTTGCTCTTTGTTTCTAATAATTCCTATTTTTAATATTGATGTGGCATTGAACTTGTAAAATGTTATTAAGAGGTGGTTTTACTTCTTTATTGGAATAAAAATGTTCACACTTGCTGTAAGGGACAAGTAGCAAAGAATGATAAATCAAATGTAGAGTATTATCAGATATTTTAATGCAGTTTTTCTTCTTTTTAAAAAAAAACTGAACAAAGGTAATAAAGGGAAATTGATAATACAGTTTGTATGTTTTAAAGCTTCTGCTTTAGAACTATAAAATGGAGTAAAATAACTATGATAACAATTGGTGCCTTTTGCAAGTATGTTATGCAAAAATCACTTGCAATATGAAACCTGATTACTGCATCAACATTTCCATAACGAGCTTCAGTGCTCTTAGAAAATAAATGCCCATTAATTTATTAATACATACTGTCGTTGTGGTGCAGTGGTTAGAATGCAGTACTTCAGGTTACTTCTGGTGACTCCCAGCTGCCAGCAATTTGGCAGTTCGAGTCCCACAGGCTCAAGGTTGACTCAGCCTTCCATTCTTCCAAGGTTGGTAAACTGAGGACCCAGATTGTTGGGGGCAATATGCTGATTCTGTAAACCGCTTAATGTGGACTGTAAAGCGAGGAAATGGTATATAAGTCTGACTGCTATTGCTAATTAGGCTTAAGATGAGCATTGGCTTTTAATCTTCCAGTGCAGCTTTAAACAGGATTGTTGCAAGCTTGGGTTGTTGTGGACTGCTGTCAGAAATAATTTCAATTTTTAATTAACAGTCCAACAGTTACAACTACTTTAAAGAATCTTGGAGCACTTTACAGACGCCAAGGAAAGTTTGAAGCTGCTGAAACACTAGAAGAGGCAGCAATGAGGTCCCGTAAACAGGCAAGTATTATAACACTAAAAGGTTCTTCAAAATAGTTAAAGTGTTTAAATGTTTGTTATTACATCATCATTATTTTAGAGCAGAACAAATGTAAATTTAGGAACAGTGGATGATATGTATTTCTTTAATACATGAAACACTAAAGAAAACCTGCCATAAACAGGCCAAACCAACAAGTTCGAGGATATCTTTGCAACAAAATGCACCACTGACTACATCAGGAAATAACAATTCCAAGCGCTCTTGAAAATCATTGGTCCCAAGTCTGTTCCCAGTACAAGAACCCACTGCTAGCATCTTTGACAAACAGCCATTCAGTATCTGTCTAAGCACCTCTGTTTAATCAGTGACGCACAATATCACAGTTTGCATACATAGGAGCTTAGCAGGCTGACCATAAATGAGTCTTTTCTACATTTTAAAATTAAAACAGGTCTCCAAATCAATAAACAAAGGTCACTAGAGAATGAAGCAGTACATAGAAAAGAAGGACAAATTATCAGTGACAGCACCAAAGTAAAAAAAGCTTACAAGAGCTGTCCAAAAATCTTGCTTTTCAGATGCAGTCATAAAACCCCGAAACAACAACAACAAATCAAAGTGATCTTCATAGATTTTGGAGACAAATTTAATTTTA